ATGGGCAAAGCAAAGAAGAAGGATGATAATAGGACTAGGCTAGCACAAAACATGAGTATTCAAAAAGGTTAAAGGGAATAAGGCAGTGTATGTTGAGGGCGAAGGAAATTGTTTCTTTTGTCGCTAACTATGACACTAAAGGACGAACTATCTAAGCAATGACGTGGCATAGGAAAATATATATTTAATCATTGAGCCATGTTATGTGGTTGTATCTATTAATTCCTGATGGATAGATTCTAGAGCCACTAAACATGTTTGCAATTCGTTGCAAGGATTTCAGGAATCCAGAAGCCTCGATGATATGGATATATATTTGCCTTTTAACCTGATGTCAAGGTTGTAGCTAAGTTAGTGGGAGTATTACATCTGAAATTAGAGAGTATGAGGATATTAGTATTAGAGAACTATCTTTATGTACAGATGTTAACCGCAATCTAATTCTTGTTTCATTTTTGGTTTATAAAAACTGTGTTGTTATTTTGTAAAACTGGTTTTATAAAATTGAATAGATATGCGATTACTTCTGGTGCATTGAAAGATGGTTAATATACTGTAACCATAAGTTCTTAAGATTTGCAGGATGTAGAAACTAATGTTGCATCTTCTAGATTGAAGGTTAAGAGAAAATTTATTATTTCTGACTCATTGTACTTTTAATATCTATTTTTGGGTTGTTATCAATCAAAATGAGATTCAAAGATTGGTTAAAGAAGATTTATTACCTAGCGAGGCAGAGGAGCCTAAACCAAACTTGTGAATCCTGTTTTGAAGGATAGATAACTCTAAGGGTTTAATCAACCAGATGAAATAGACATAAAGGACAATTGGAGTCGGTACACACTGACACGTGTGGTCTTATGAACATCTAAGCAAGATTACTCATGTTTTGGATAAGTTTATCTGATGCAACACAAGTCTTAAACTTTTGGTATATTCTGAGAAGGTCAAGACTGATGTGGAGCACAGATTAGGTAAACTTATCAAGACACTTCGATCTGATCGAGGATATGAGTATTTCTTGGGATAGTGCAAAGACTATATGGTAAATGAGGGTGTTGTGTACCAGTTTTCCGCAATTGACGCTAAATACATTTAGGTGTCAAATAGGAATAACAGAATTCCACTTAACATGGTTAGATCTATGATCAGTTATGCTATATTATCTCTTTAATTTAAGAGTCTAGCGTTAATGACATCGATGCGCATTATGAACTGCATTCTATCATAGTCTGTTTCAAGGATATCGTTGAGCTGTTTTTTTGACTAAATCTTAGTTTGAATCACATGCACATATGGGGTAGTCTTGCACGTGTGCGCTTGATATGGACAAGTAAGTTGGAAACAGATCATACGCATGATAGATTTGATAGCTACTTTAAAAGTCACTAGGATGGATTATTTTATGATCTCAATGATAAAAGTTGGTTGTTTACACTCACTGTTTATCTATAGGAGGATCATATTATGAATTACATACCTAGTAGCATAATGTTAGAGAATATGGTGTGAGTACCAGATGTACCACATGTGAACACACTTATTATAGAGATTGAGAATAATAAATGAATTCCCTATTGATGCGTCAGCATCACCTAGTACACAGATTCCTGCATCGGTACATTGAGGTAGTGGGAGGATTATCATCCAATCCGACAAAATCATGTTTTTAGGTGAGACCATTATGGACATCCCTGTTAAACATGAGTTGGACCCAGTAAGCTACACGGAAGCGTGAACCGATATGGATACAGATCGTTTTGACGAGTTACTATGAAATTAGAGTTGGAATCTATGTATTCTAATAAATTCTGGGATCTTGTAGAACTTTCTAGTAGGGTGATTCCTATGGAAGGCAAGTTAATCTACAGAAAGATACCAGAAGATTTCTTAGTGAATAAATCATGAGTGTACAAGGGAATGTCATTATTTTTCTGATTCTATATATATTGATGACATCCTACTCATTTAGAATGATGTGGAAGTTCCTCATCAATAAAGAGGTAGTTGTTCAATTACTTTTAAATGAAGGATTTTCAAGATGCAAGCTATATTCCTAAGATCAAGCTTTTGCAAGATCAGGTTAAAAGGAAAATAGGCTTATCTTAATAATCCTACATTGATAAAGTTTTGACCAGGTTTGGTATGCATAACTCAAAGAATGAGTTCTTGCTTTATTGATATGGATTGCTCTCTCTAGTAAGTAGTTTTCTAAGACTAGCAGAGGAGATTGAGCAAATGAGACTAGAACTATATGCTTTGGCATATGGGAGTCTCATATATACCATGGTCTATACCGAACAGGACATTCGCTACATTGTAGGGATAGTCAGATGATATCAGTCCAATCCTGGACTTGATAACTGGTCTGTTGTGAAAAATATCATTAAGTACCTAAGGAGAACCAATGATATCATACTCATTTATAGATGTGATGATATGGTCCTAGTCAGGTATGCTAGTTCTAATTTTCAATCAGAAGTAGATACTATGAGGTTCATGACTTAGTGTATGTTCATTTAATGGAAGGGAAATTAGTTGGTAGATTGTTAAGCAGATTTCAACTGCTGACTCAAACCTGCAAGTGGAATATATTGCAGCATTAAGGCGGCAAAGGAAGTCTATTGGTTTGATCTCACTGATTTAGAGGTTGTGGAGTATACTAGCCTGCCTATTGAGCTATGTTGTGACAATAGTGCAGAAGTAGTTCAAACCAATGACCCAAGGTTCTATAAAGGAACAAGATACACTGAGAGGAAGTATCATGTTCTACATGATATTGTCCGGCAAGAAAATGTACTTGTAGTTAGAATATTACATTGGAACACAACTTTGTTGATTCATTATCAAAGGTGTCATTGATCAATAATTTTGATTATCATCTGGATAACATTGGAGTTAGGTGCAATTTGAATTGGCTATGAGGGCAAGTGGGAGCTGTTGGGAGTTATATGCCCTGGCATAGCAAATTCCTATCTGGATTATAGTGACATATGTTTCTGACATATCTGAAATATTTATGATTTATATAATTGGTGAATTCAATGTATTATGTTTCGATTCACTATGAAATTAATAGTGTCCCTGTAATTACACAAAATATTTATATATATGTATGTGATGACAATCAATGCATGATATATAAATAATAATTATAAATTGTTCATAGTCGGTAATTATGGATGGACTCACAATTAATTAAGACTTGAACTGGATCCGCGTTAGGTTGAGATATATTGCGAGAGTCGTCGTATGCAATTGCTCCCTATCACCGTCATGGCATTTGACTCTTAAGCATGAGAAAATTATAGACTCTTTTATTAATTAATAATTACTTTGATTTGTTCGGCGGATTCTTCGGGATCCTTAGACCGACACTTTGGGTAGTTATGTGATTAATAGTTAGAGGGTTATATTTTCAAGATATGCATCATTGCTACTTGTATTTATTTTGTATTGATTATGGTTGATCACAAAGTAAATTCGAAGGCCTTCGTATGTTTTTAGACAAAATGATTTATTATATATTTATTTATTTAAATTATTATTTTTGTCAAACAAATGTTTTGTTGTGATCGAGTCAGAAATAATCAAAGGTACCAAAATAAATATATTAATTAAGTAGTTGGATTGATGGCTTTATTTATCCGATAACTAATTATGCATAGAGGGGTCAAAGTGTAATATTGACTTAGAGGTTATTTATTATTTAATTGGAGTTCAATTAATTTCTTTTAGTGGAGTAGAAATTAATTTATGAATTAATTGAATTGGGTCCATGGACTGGGCCAATTATTAATTCATTGTAGCCAATAAAATAATAGGCCCAATGGATTCTCACTCATAACCCAACTTGATATTGGAATCATATTAGATTTGAGACATGTAAATTAGAGATTGAGAAGGATTCGTTGTTTCCTTTTCTTTACCTTTATGTTGCCTATAAATATACATGGTCTATATATATTTTGGGTGATGATTTTTATGAGAAGGAAAAAGGAATAAATTTTCTCTCTCTAGAAAATTAGGGTTAGTGTTCTCATCTAATGGAGGCTCCAACAAGCCTAATTTTTCAAGGTCATTCATGGAGGCATATGAGTGATTCCTAAAGGCAAAATAATTATCAAGATGATAGGGATCCAAGGAGAAGGCATCTTGCTAAGGGATCTACAATAAGTGAGAACATTCACTTTAGAGGAAAGATTTAAAGGTTTACTCAGACCTTTGATGTAAGTATTCAATCCATTAATTGAATGATACATCATATTTTATTTTTGCATAAAACTTGTCTCTATGTGATGAATCAAGATCTATGAATCAAAATCCCTCAAATTTTTTTTTTAAAACTAGCACGTTTCCCAACAATTGCAGGAGCTCATACTCAGTATCTCAAGTTGAAAAGGAGGAACCCAATTAGAGTTCATGTTGAAGAAAAGAGAGTTTGAAGACATATACAAATACTTCAACTTTGAGAGTTCAGCAAAATTCACTTCTGAAACAATGCCTCCTATGGAATTATGACCTACCAATAATTCCTCAAGATTTGAGAGGAACCCCACACTCTTTGGAAAAGTGTCATTCAATCTATTTGAAGAAAGATCTAAGACACTCAAGGATGATAAGTTTCCAATAAATGGTGGAATGGGACCATACAATAAGTTCCCTCCAAGTGACAAATATTCAAGATGTTTCAATTGCCCAAGCCCGTCTGGGATTTTCCCTGTAATTAGATGATTGTCTCCCAAGTCTAACTCTCTCAACAGGCGAAGTTTTGAAATGATGCTAGGTATTTGACCATATAGGGAATTGCGGGATAGGGAAAGAGACTGAAGGTTACTAGTGAAATTAAACAACAAATCCGGTATCTTGCAATTGAAATTGTTATTATGAAGTTCAATGAATTTAAGAGATGTAAAGTTAACATAAGAAAGAGGTGGAATCATTTTCTCAAGTTGGTAGAAGCGCAAATACAGCTCTGAAAGGTAAGGAAGCATGCTCACCGATTGAAGCCAATCGACTGCCTTGTGAAGGTCAGCATCGATCATGTCAAGGTATTCCAAGGAACAAAGACGAGCAATCCAACTAAGATCATCAGCATAAAGTACATAATTAAATCCTAGATCGAGATGACGAAGGCTCGATAGATTACCAAGCTGATGAGAAATCGGCCCTTGGAGATTGCAGCTTGACAAACGTAGTTCTGAAAGGGAAGGAAGGTTGTTCAGTTGTCTATGCCAATCAACCGCCTTGCCAAGGTCGATCCAACTCATGTCAACGTATTCCAAGGAATGAAGACTAGCAATCCAACTAAGGTCATCAACATAAAGTTGATCATTATTAGAATTTAGATCAAGAACACGAAGCCCAGAGAGATTCCCAAGTTGATGAGGAATCAATCCCATAAAATAAGCATAAGAAAGGTTGAGATATCTCAAACTCAGCATAGAACCAAAGAAACTTGGAATAGTAGAACCACTGAAATTGTTCATACTCAAGTCCAAGTAAATCAGAGATTCTAATTCCACCAAAAAGGAACTAATCTTCCCACCCAACTGTTAGGATATGTGTGCCCTAGCATAGCAAATTCTAATTTTGGATTGTAAAAGTCATGGTTTCTTATCTGGATATTATTATTAAAGCATTATACAATTGGTGAATGGAATGTATTATTTTTCGATTCATTATGGAATTGATTGTGTCCACTTGATTACAAAATATATTTATATGTATGTAATGACAATTAATACTATGTTAAAAATTTGTAATCATAAATGGTTTAAAGTCGGTAATTATGGATGGACATTTAATTAGTTAAGACTTAAACCGAGTCCACGATAGATTAAGATATATTGCGAGAGCTGTCATATGCAATTGCTCTCTATCACAGTCATGGCTTTTGACTCTCAAGCATGAGAGAAGTATAGACTCTTTTATTAATTAATAATTACTTTGATTTATTCGACGGATACCTCGGGATCTTTAAATCGACACTTTGGGTAGTTATGTAATTAATAATTAGAGGTCTATATTCTCACTATTTGCATCAGTGCTATTTGTATTTATTTTGTTTTGATTATGGTTGATCACAAATTAAATTCGAAGGCCTTCGTATGTTTTAGACAAATGTTTTCTATATATATTTATTTAATAAATTATTATTATTTTTTGTCAAATAAATATTTTATTGTGATCGAGTCGGAAATAATCAAAGGTAACAAAATAATTATATTAATTATGTTGTCGGATTGATGGCTTTAATTATCCGATAAATAATTAAGCATAGAGGGGTTAAAGTGCAACATTGACTTAGAATTTATTTACTATTTAATTGGAGTGCAATTAATTTCTTTTAGTGGAGTAGAAATTAATTTATGAATTAATTGAATTGAGTCCATGGTTTAATGGACCGGACCAATTATTAATTTATAGGAGCCAAGAAAATAGTAAGCCCAAAAGGATTCTCACCAATAGCCCAAATTGATATTGGAGTCATGTTAGAATTGAGAAAGTTGAATTAGAGATGGAGAATAATTTATTGTTTCCTTATTCTTATTTTTATTTTGCCTATATATACATGAGTTCATGTATATTTTAGGGGTGACTTTGAGAACAAGAAAAAGGAATACACTTTCTCTCTCTAGATTTTAGGGTTTTGTTTTCTCTTCTAAAGGAGGCTACCACCAGCCTAGATTCCAAAGTCATTCATCAAGGCATATTGGTGATTCCTAAAGGGAAGATAATAATCAAAAAGAAGGAGAAAGGATCTTGCTAAAGGGATCTACAATAAGTGAGAACATTCACTTTAGAGGAAAGTTCAAAAGGTTTACTCAGACCTTTGATGTAAGTATTCAATCTGTTTATTGAATTATGCATCATCTTTTATTTATCTTTGCATAAAACTTGTCTCTATGTGATGAATCAAGATTCATGATTGCAAATCCCTCAAAAAGTTTTAAAGTTTGCACGTTTCCCAACAGTGATATCGGAGCACATGGTTTGATTCATTATTAGAGAACATGTGTTTATAAAAATCATATTCATGGATCCAAATTATATATACAGATATAAAATTATTGATATATGTTGATGTATGATTTATTATGTTGATATATATTAATACATGATGATGTATGTATAATTGTGAATGAATGATGATGTGTGTTTGGGTCATGGATGAAGCTTATAGGTATATAGAATGTAATTTTATTTTTGGATGAATGTAATTAAGGCTTTGTTTTAGCTGTTTGAAAATTCAATGATGTAATTTAATTTTTTCCATTGTATTTCAAATTGTAAGTATTTATTAAAGCCATGTAATATTCATCAAAGGATGCTATGAAGCTTCAAGAGGGTCCGAAAGGGTTAAATTATGCTTCAGTAATTTTCTGGAATTTTTTTGAATTTTTCAGAATTTTTCTGGAATTTTTTTGAGGCTTAATTTAATTTTCTTGAATTTTTCGGATTTTTTGGAATTTTTTCAGCGTTTTTCCAGTTGCCGGAGCTTCGCCGGCCGCGAGAAAGGGCGTCGGAGGTGGCCCGGATCAGGTGTGGCACAGACAAAGTGAGCTTGGCACGTGTTCCTCACGCGCCAGGAAGTGGCATATAAAGGCACATGCTGGCGCGTGCATTGCACGCGCTAGCCAAGGAGCATAGCTCTCCACGCCCGTGAAGGCACGTGGAGGCGCGTCCCACGCGCCCCAGGCGCGTGGGAGCGTATGAGGGCGCGTCCCACCCGCCCCACGCGCGTGGGGGCGAGTGCCGAGTCTTGCAGCCTGCCCTAGGCGCGTGCCAGCGCGTGTGGGGTCCTCTAGGCTCGTTTCAAGCGGCGTTTTGCTTCTTCTGACGCGTACAAGCTTCCTATAGGTGTTTACAGACAGTTGAAGGACGCCCGTACAGCAAGAATAGTTTTTAAATGTTAAAAACTGAATCCATTGGCCATTTATATTGCTTCTGTCTATTATTTGATGCATGGAATAATTTAATACTTATTATAATTGTTCATGCATTAGATCCATGATTTTTAATTAAATGGCTTAATTTATATTAATTAAATTATGAAAATAAATTGGATTAGATTTCTAATTAATTTGAGGGCATTTATTGGGAAACAGAAAAATTATTTTTTTGTAAATTATTTTTTGCCTCAAATTAAATATTGGTGAATCATTTAAAATCCATATATATTTTCTAAATTTAATTGGATTAAAATCAAGGTGTTTTGCATGCATTAAATCATGAATTGAAAACCCTAATTTTATATTATTAAAAATTGAGTGGGAGCGGGGATTTTTATACATTACCCCATGGCCTTCGTAATTATAACCATTGTGATTAGATCTTTAAAAATAAGGCTCCACGCATGATTTAAAGAGTCTAGATTACAAGAATGGTGGTCTCACGAAAATATTTATAACCATTATAGTTAGATCTTTAAAAATAAGGCCCTACGCATGATTTAAAGAGTCTAAACTATTAATGGCAATATATTTAATATTTGATTTTTCGTTGGAGCATTAATTATGTTATACACTCAATCTAAAATCAATAGTATTAGCTCCCCAACGGAGTGGTCTATACTAGGTGATTTTAGAAAGGCTAAATGTAATCGGGAATTATTTCATATATATATATAAGGCATTGTCTAAAGAGATATGGAAATAATGAGTTGTTCTCGTCAATAAGTAATAATGAATTCCGCCAACCGGATAAGTTATTGGCATATTGATTGTCCGATTTTTCATGCAATGTGGTTAAGGGACCCACAATTAATTAATTATTTTATACTTGCACGATTATTATTATTCACTTTATTTATTGTATGAATGCTTTTATTTTCAGATTTATCATGACTAGTCCATTCAGTCCACTTGCAAACATACTAAAACAAAATCGATTAACTGGACCTAATTATATCGATTGGAAAAGGCAACTAGATATTGTACTCACATATGAGAAGTTGAATTATGTGCTTACTACTCCTAGACCTTCTCCACCTTTGCCTGAGGATCCTCCTGAGGAGCATGAAGTTTTTAAGAAATGGAATAAAGCAGATGAGATGACTAGGTGCTACATTCTTGCTTCACCCTCGAATGTACTCCAAAGTCAACATCTTCAATATCTCGCTTCTGCAGACATCATGCTTAACCTTAAGGAAATGTTTGGGCAAATTGGTAAGAGTGCACGCCAAAATGCTATGACAAATTTGATGACCATTAAGATGGTCCAAGGTACTTCAGTTCGGGAACATGCTTTAAAAATGATTGGTTTTTATAAATGAACTGGAGATCCTTGGATGCAACTTGGATGGTGAACTTTAGGTTGACATGATTATCGCTTCATTGCCAGACTCATTTAACTCTTTTAGGGTTAATTATTATATGAATAAGCTTGAGTACACATTCACTGAACTATTGAATGAGTTGGTAACCTTTGAAGGGATAAACAAAAGCAAGGGTGCATCTATCAACTACACTCAGTCTGCTGGACCATCCACTTCTAGGCCCAAGAGGAGGGGCAAGAAAAAGAAGAAGGATGGTGCCAAAACTGTGGTTGTGCCAAGCAAAGTAATCCAAAAGGATAAGGGAAAGAAGAATGTGCGGGTTGAAGGCGAAGGAAACTGCTTGCATTGCGGTCAACAGGGTCACTGGAAACCTAACTGCCCAACACTTCGCACACAAGGCAAAGGAAAAGGTATATTCATTGTTGATGCATGTAATGTGGTTGAATCTATAGATTCCTGGTGCATAGATTATGGAGCCACTAATCATGTTTGCAATTCATTGCAGGGATTCTAAGAGTCCAGAAGCCTCAATGAAGAAGAGATATACTTGCATATGGGATTTAATGCCAAGGTGGAAGCTAAAGCAGTGGGAGTGGTTCATATGCAGTTTGATAGTGGGAGGAGTCTTATTTTAGAAGATTGTCTTTATGCGCCAAATGTTAGGCACAATTTAATTTCAGTTTCTTCGTTGGTTTGCAAAAATTATATTTTTACTTTTGGAAAAAATGTTTTAATTAAATTAAATGGTTGTGTTATAACTTCTGGTGCATTGAAAGATAATCTATATGTTTTAACTCCTAGCTCATATCAAATGCAAAATTATGAATTAAATGCAACTTCATCTAGATTGAATGTTAAAAGAAAAACAGTTTCTCCAAACTCATTGTATCATTGGCATCTACGATTGGGTCACATCAATCAAAATAGGATTCAAAGGTTGGTTAAAGAAGGTTTATTACCTTGTGAGGCAGAGGAGCCTATGCCAACTTGTGAATCATGTATTGAAGGAAAGATGACTCGAAGGGCTTACTCAGCCAAAGGATATAGAGCCAAAGAACAATTAGAGTTGGTGCACACAGACGTGTGTGGTCCCATGAACACCCAAGCCAGAGGAGGGTTTGAGTACTTCATCACTTTCATTAATGATTATTCATGTTTTGGATATATTTACCTAATGCGACACAAGTCAGAAGCTTATGGAAAATTCCGTGAGTTTCAGGTGGAAGTGGAGCATAGATTAGGTAAACTTATCAAAACACTTCGATCTGA